ACCCTGGGCCTGCAGCCGGGCCAGCTCCTCGCTCAGGGCATCGTACGACTCTTCCAGGTGCCGCTTCTTCAGCTCCACCGTCTGCGTGTACTCCGTCAGCGAGCGGATCTTCGCCTCGTGCTGCGGGGACCAGTCTCAGCCACTGACACCCCCCCCCTGCGGGGGGTACGTGGATACCACCCCACCACCACCCCCAGGGCCACCCCATCACTGAATCACAGGGTCATCAAACCCCTGGGTCATCAAACCGTGGGGTCACCAAGTCCCAGGGCCATCAAACCCCAGGGTCAACAAACCCCGGGAACACCAAACTCTGGGGTCACCAAACCCCAGGATCACCAAACCCTGTGGTCAGCAGACCCCAGGGCCACCAAACCCCAGGGTCACCAAGTCCCAGGGCCACCAAACCCTTGGGACACCAAACTCTGGGAACACCAAACCCTGGGGACATTGAACCCTTGGGTCACCAAGCCCTGGGGTCACCAAATCCTTTGGCCACCAAGCCCTGGGAACACCCAACCCTGGGGACACTGAACCCTCGGGGCACCAAACTCTGGGGTCACTAAATCCCAGAGCCACCAAGACCTGGGGTCACCAAATCCTTCGGCCACCAAACCCTTGCATCACCAAACCTTGCAGCCACCAAACCCTGCAGCCAGCAAACCCCAAGATCACCAAACCCTGGGTCCACCAAAATCTGAGGTCACCCAGCCCTGGGGCCACCAAACCCCAGGGTCACAGAACCCTGGGGCCACCAAACCCCAGGATCACAGAACCCTGGGGCCACCAAACCCCAGGATCACCAAACCCCAGACCACCAAACCCCGGGGTCCCCACGGCGGTGGTATTGCTCCCAGGAGGTCCCCTGTCATTCCTGTCCCCAGCCCACCTGGGAGATGAGGAGCTGGCAGGAGGAGAGCTCGCGCCCGGTCACCTCCATCTTGCGGTGGCACTCCACCTGCAGGTTCTCCAGCTGCCGGCACCGCTTCACCACCGACTTCACCTCCGACTTGATCTTGCTGATGTAGAGCCGGGCGACGGTGAACTCCTCCTCGATGGCCCCGCTGACCTCCACCGGCTGGGCACGGGCATGGGCACAGCACACGGGTCAGCGTGGCATGGCATGGCATAGTATGGTGTGGCATGGCATGGGCACGGCACGGCATGGGCATGTACCACACATGGGTATGGCACGGCATGGTCCCAGCACATGCAGGGGTATGGCACGGCACACGGGTCAGCATGGCATAGTACGATATGGCGTGGGTACGGCACGGCATGAGTATGGCACACACATGGGTACGGCATGGCACGGGCAGGGGCACGGCATGGCACAGTGGAGTATGGCATGGTGTGGGTATAGCATGGCACGGCGTGGTATGGGCACGTACCACACATGGATATAGCATGGCATGGGTACGGCACAGCACGTGGGTCAGCACAGCACAGGCATGGCACAGTGTGGGTACGGCACACACAGGGTATGGTATGGCATGGCACAGGCACAGCACACACATGGATATGGCACAGCATGGGTACAGCACGGGCACAGCATGTCACAGGCACATCAGGCATGTGGCTACAGCACGGCACGGCACATACATGGGTTTGGCATGCCATGGCTTGGGCACAGCACGGCACGAACACGTTGCACACACGGGTATGGCGTGGTGTGACACGGCACGGGCACGGCATGACACCCCCACAGGTGCAGCCTGGCATGGCACAGCACGGCACAGGGACATCCCACCCATGGGTGCAGCCTGCCAGGGGTGTGTCCCCCCCTCACCAGCTTGATCTCGCCGTTGCCCACGATGAGGCTGAACTCGCTCAGGTCCTTCATCAGCCCGTTGAGCACCTCGGCCGCCCGCTTGCGCTGCTGTCCCCCCAGGTCCCGCACCCGCTGCAGCTCCGTCTCCAGCGACAGCGTCGTCGCCTGTGGGCACGGCACGGCCTGGCACCCCCCCGGTACCCCCCACCCTGGCACACCTAGCAC